GGCTACATTATTTGTTATTTAATGCAATTAAATTTTTTGATTAAAGGTTTTCTTTTGTAGATGGTTTATTGTATTCTGTTCTGTACAACAGGGTTCATTAACTATTGTAGTTAACTAACTGAAGTTAACTAATTCAGTTAACTGAAATGAACGTTAACTGTACCTTTTTAGCTACAGTTTCTAAAGCAATAATAACTCAAACTAATTATTAATAATAATAATAATAATACGGCACTGGCATGATTGGAAAATACACATTGAATTTGCATTGATTCAAGCAATCATAGTGACACAATACATCAAAATCATTTATCTTTTTTTATTCTTACAAAAGTCTTCTATTTTAAATTAATGTTGTTTTTTAACTTACATTAAAGGATCCGGAAAAAAGTGTATCACAGTTTTCACAAAAATGTTAAGCAGCACAACGGTTTTTAATATCGATAATCGTAAGAAATGTATCTTGAGCATCAAATCAGCATATTAGAATGATTTCTGAACAATCATGTGACAGTGAAGACTGGAGTAATGATGCAGAAAATTTAGCTCTTCATTACAGGAATAGATTATATTTCATTATATTTTTTATATATTAAAATAGGAAAGTTATTTCATTTGTAATGATATTTAATAATATTACGGTTTTTACTGTATTTTTGGTCAAAATTAATGCAATGCTGCAACCTTAGTAAGCATAAGAGATCAGTATATATGAACTTTTGATCTGTATATATGTATAAAGTGCCTACCAGGAACTCAAGGTAACTTTACAGATGACAAGACAAAAATATAATAAATCACTACTTTCATACACTTCCATCCACTGTGAATGCCGTGAAAAATTCAAGTTGTCTCAACATCAAATTTTGTGATCTGACAGCAAATTATGTCATTTTGCAGTCCCACATGTTTGGTTAGAAAAACTATTGGCCAAATATTCAGTGAATCCCTGTCCCTGAATGTATAAGCTGAATTTATAACTTATAATGTGTGAGTATAACTAGATTCTTACAGGCAATCCACTGACACCTGTGTAACTGATGGCAGGTCTCTCAACGTGTGTAATGTGTCCTGGGTCAGATGGGGAACAGTTGCACAGCGAGTGTACAGGAGACAGCCGGGCACCTCTAGTGAATGCTGCCCTGATTTTCCCAGTCCAGTCAAAACTCCCAGGCGACATCCCTGAACCACTCGAGACAGCTCCAGTTTCATCCCACTTGTGGAGCTGTAGCTTCCTTATGTGAATGTTTCTCTGAAACTTGGAGGAAATGACAGCTTATCACCTGCAAAAACAACATTCAACCTCTTTATTCTCTCATTTTCCAGAGGGATATAGTGATTGACAAGCAAATATACACATATGAATGAAATAGAAGACATTACGGTCTAGTTTACCAACCTGAGGCAAAGTTTCCGTTATACAACGAGCACTCTACGCCGTGAAAACTTGTTAGCAGTGAATTAAAAATAATATGTCATTTTCGACAATAATTCTTTTAAAAACGTCTCAAGCTTACCAATGTGATATTAGCTGCTTCCGAAAGCAGGACATGTGGGAACTTCAGGTCGCAGAAATATTTCGTAGCGCTTTGACTTGGGTCTCATATTTACGACGTCATAACATTTCTATAGCGCAGAGCTGTGCATTTGATTTCCATATGGCTACATATTTCACAAAGAATTGTGTCATTACTTCTTATCTTTAAAATTAATGAAGAAAAAGAAGTCATAAACCTCTGTAATTTGATTGAGTATCTTAAACTTACTGAGAACCCCTATTATTATTGTTGTTGTTGTTATTATTATTTTATTTTTTACCATCTGTCTTTTTAATATATTTCTTGAACAAATTGATATAAAACAAGTTACGAAAATATTGTGGTGACATATATGTCACATCGGGCTGTTAACCTTAAAGTAGGTGGAATTTTGATGACCTATTTGTCACATTCAGAAAAATGGTAATGAGCATGAGCTGCTCAATTAATTTAGCTGATTCAGTTATTTTAGTGTTATATATTTTCTGCTGCTAATTTCAAAGCATATTTTAACAAATGTAAACATAAAAAATAATGAACTAACTCATCCGTTCTGCATTGTAGACATAACATGTATATTGCATTGCAGTAACTTAGTCCGTTGTGCTTCTGAGTGAAGAGATAACACATGACAGGTGCTTGTTGAACTGCATTGCATACAAGAACTAACTCTGAAGAGAAAAACACTGACGAGAAAAAAAATCATATATGCTGTTGTATAGCAATAAATGCTAAGAACTAACGGTTTCATTGTTTTGCATACAATAATTAACTTATTACGTTGTGCATAGAAGAAATTAAAGTGATAAAGATGATAACAATGGTTTGATCAGAGTGATCAAGTTTTTTTTTTTCACTGAGCATTGTATTGTTTGTTTGTTTACTGTTTTATTGCACAATATACACCTTTTTGCAGTGTTATTGCACTACGTGCACGTTTAACATGTTGACCTCCAGTGTGAGGTAGTTATTTATTTTTATTCAGTTTGCACATTTTCGAGTTGTAAAAAAAAAAGAAAAAAAATTCTGGTTAAACCATATAGCCTACCTGAAAAGGTAGAATTTTGATATGTTACAAAAGAGTTGTTGTAAAATGTAATGGTCACAGTTATGTGGTTTTGAAATATGTTGTGGCAAAGCAAATAAAATGCAAACTGTATTACTTCTGAAAACGTTTTTGTTTTATCTTCCCAGAAAAGTAATAATTTTGATATATGTTGCACTGGTTATAGAACATGAAATCATTCTAACTTCTATATTTTAAAGTTAAAACTAAACAGACAAAAACGGTTTACTATAGGTTAACGTAATTAATTCCACATTTAGCTTGGGAACTGGGAATTTTACTTAATTTGCACACCTTGATTTTCACACAATAGGCTAAACAACAAATATTGCAATACCGGTTGTTACATTTACAATTGTTAAATACTAAAAAACACAATTGTAGGGTCAGCATCTGAAATAAATGCATTTAGTAGCTTAGCAGTTCACCTTTGAGATCAACTATGGCCATGGCCACACAAGAGCCGGTAGGATCGTCGGCGTACTGTCTCCATGGTTTCAAAGTAGACGCTTCAGTCCTCCTCAGTTCTTGTTGGGATATGTAGTTCTTTTTAGGCGCCAACTCATGCTACGTCACTTTGCGTAAACTACAAATCCCACAATTCCATTGCTGGGCGAAAAGTTTCTCACTTAAGTACATGAATGTTTTGACGAAGCTAAATTTGTATAACCTATACTGTAAATTGCTGCTACATACACTTCGAAAACATGTGAAAACATATTATATTAGCTTACAATCCAAATGCATGCCCATGTACAAGCGACCATGGCAAATCCCATTCACAGACCGGATATTTTTCGTTGGAAAACGACAAAGACAAAAACACCAGGCAGTATTAAGGCGAGTAAACCCTGCTTCCTCTTTTCTCACTCAGTTCTTCAAAGATGTAGCTTCGTAATAGTGTTTTCCTTCGTTTCCTTTTTTACAATATTCAGCCAGAGGTATTAATCTAAATATATGTCACACTCAGGTTATCTTTGGTCATTCACATTGGTTATTAGTAATGAATAGATTTGTGGCTCAGCAGAAGGATTTAGCTCAAATGCGCAATGAAAACCCCTTCAGGTGTATGCAGTGTTGGGGAAGTTACTTTTAAAAGTAATGCATTACAATACCGCGTTACTCCATACAAAGTAACTAATTACGGTACTTAGTTACTTTTTATGGAAAGTAATGTGTTACGTTACTTTTGCGTTACTTTTAAAATCTGGACAGGGCTTGCTTGTTTGTTTTTAAAATAAAAAAGTTATATTTTTGGCAAATATAAAAGCCTTTTCACACCAAAAGTGAAATGAATAAGACACAGGCTGAAGGGAAATTAAATTTATGTCCGTATAGTAGAATGCAGAAGAAGAAATTTCAACACACTTCAGCAATAAAAAAAGACACACAAATGTTTGTCTAGAGTATTTTTTGCTTATTAGTATGGTTGAACTGGATCATCGAAGGTCAGAAACAAAGACATTGGTTAATAGAATGGGATTAAATACATAAAGCATATTTGTGTTGTTAAACATTTAATTATTGCAGGTTTGCGTCATATTCTGAGTTGCATTATTTTTATTCATTTTGAGGAATACTGAATCTGTTTTTTTTTTTGTGAGTGAGGTGAATTAGTGCATATTCATATTTATTTTAGAACTACAGTAACATCTTCTGATTTCTCTCAACATGGGGACAGGAGAGCTGTCAATCAATAAATTGGAAAAAAAAAAAAACTTGCATTACTTATTTGAAAAAGTAACTCAGATATTCTCTTGTAAATTAAAAAGTAATGCGTTACTTTACTAGTTACTTGAAAAAAAGTAATCTGATTACATAACTCGCATTACTTGTAATGTGTTACCCCCAACACTGGGTGTATGTAACACGGGATATTTATCCAGGGATTAGATGTGTGAGGCCAGTGTGACTAATTCACATCAGTTTATGTGAACTTCAGGCATGAGCAAGGTTGGAAAGCTCTTGGTTTAACCCAATGATCAGCTTATGACTGTAGAGAAGCCGGTAATACATTTTGAGGTCTCAGTCTATTTTGGATTGAAACAATGAGCAGAGCTGAATTCATATCTCATATTGCAGGTGCAGCTGAATGAGAATGACATAAAGCAGTGGGTGAAGGTAAGTACATTTCAATAATTTGAATTCATGTCATGCAGAAAATTAATGCATATGACATAAAGCAGTGGGAGAAGGTAAGTACATTTCAATCATTTCAATACATGTCATGCAGAAAATTAATGCAAATGTATGTCAACGCTTGTGACAAAGAAGTGTGCTTAATTGTACTGAATGTGCACTTATAGTGTACTTAAATATAGTACACTTTCTTGACTGTTTCTTAACATGCCTAAGTACACTTTTTAAAAGTGTATTCCATGATATTTTATTATTATTTATTAATTTCAGTTAACCTTCCCGAAAGTGTCCAAAAACATTACATTTGGGTAGATTATTTTAAAGTATATTATTTTTGTAATAAGTACTCTTTTTCTAAAGTATGCTAAAGTGTACTTTTTTGTTGTTGTTTATAAGGGATGCAGAGTCTGTGTTTATGTATTACATATAATTTTCTTTTCATAATTCTTCTCAGAGGGTGGAGAAGGCTTCAGAGTTTGCTGTAGCTGAGGTGTTTTCCATTAAGAGACCATGTGGTAGAAAAAAAAGTATGGCTCTGCAGAATGTAGAGCAGCTACAGGATCACAATGATGCGTACAGTGAAGGTAATCTTTAACTATTTAATATTCAGCACTTAATGCCTGTGCAGGTTTTTATCAGTATTCCACAGTTCCACTTGTATTCTACAGCTCAGTCAATTCTAAGTGAATGGATGAACCAGAAATTACGTCTGGAGCTTGAAATGGATGATGACGAGGAGGAAGAGGAGAAGGAAGAATCCAAACAACCACACAATCCAGCTATAATAACTTTGATGGTACAAATGAAATGAAGGAAGTACCTTCTTTGTTTTTTGAAGCTTACCTTAAGAATTCCCATAAAATCTAAACAAGTGTTATTTTAGGGTTGTTTAGATACTATTATAGTATTTATTAATATTTTGAGTTTTTATTTTTAGATTTTCAGTTTTCAAGTTTTAGTAATTTTATATGTGCTTTTGTCATTTTTTTAGTTTTTTTTTTTAAATATTTCTATATAACTTTATTTTAATTTCAGTTTTAGTCATTTTTGTAATTCAACTTAGTTCATGGTTCAAGGTTCAGTTCAGGGTTATTATAGTTAACTAACACTAAATCTGAACTAAAATTAAAACCATTAAAAAATGTTGTTACTTGAAATAAAATAAACGATGAATTAAAAAAAAAACTTTTTTTTAGCTAGTTGCCAAGGCAACAATTCTCATTTTAATTTAGTTTAACTTGGTACTAAAAATATCTAAAACTGAAATAAAAATGTATAAAACAAATATATACATAAAACTACTAAAAATGACAAAATTTTAATGAAAACAGAAATATATTAATAAAAAATATGAATAAAACGAAAATACTATAAAATAAAATAATACTGTTTCAGTTAGTTGCCAAGGAAACATGTTCATGTATGTTTTTTTAAGATTAATTTTTCTAATATCTAATATTTATATTTTATTTTATTTAAGCTTTATTTCAATTACCAAAAACAACTTGTAATAGTTAATAATAATTTATTCGTTTTTAGTGTTTTAGTTAGCATTAACAACACTGATCTAATCTGGACTTTCTCTTTTTTCATTAGACATGTACTTTCACCTAGCACAGGAAGAGGAGAACTCTGTAGTGCACAATTTCCTCCAGGACCTGATGGAAACCGAGGTGTTGGACTTTGGGATAGTGGAGGACCTTAAAGTAGACTCTGATCAGAATAAGAAGAAATGGAGGGACCCTAGCATTACCATGGAGGTGCGTCACAAGCAGGTAAAGGAGAACCGCATGCGCAGAGATGCAGAGCATGAGAAACTGCGTAAAGAGAAGGAAGTGCTAAGGGAGGTGCGAGAGGAGGCGTGGCAACTGGAAAAGGAGAAGCAGCGAAAGAAGAGGCAGGAGGCACACAGACAGGAAGAACTGATCCAGCAGGAGATGATTCGCCTACGCAGAGAGATGGAGGAGAGGAGGAGTGTGGAGCAGCTTGCACGAAACATGTACAACAACCACAAGAGTATTTGGGCACTCTAGTCACAATTAAAAATGTATGAATGTCAAAGTAAAAGAGGTATCTGCAAAGAAATGATGCTAAACCTTTTCTCACAACTAACTTCACTTGGCATCTTTACCGCTCACAAAGTAATTTTTAGTGAATGTATGAAGTCAGTTCTCCTCAAGTTCATAGACGGGCCTGATCAAAAGACCATAGGGTAGGGTGACCATACGTGCCATTTTTCACGGACGCATCCTGGCCAGGATTTCTATATTGCCTAAAATATCTAGGGTTTGGCTTTGTTTGCGTGTGCAGACCGATCAGTGTATGACATCGGTTCCTTATGTTTTCAAAACGCTCTCGAGGTACGTTGAATCAAAGCAATATAGAAATCCTGGCCAGGACGCGTCCGGGAAAAATGGCACGTATGGTCACCCTACCATAGGGCTTTGGGACACAAACATCCCACTATATCCACTGCAGTTGTTCTATTATATATGCATGATTATTTAATCTTGTATTTTCCTCATTTGCCATTTTAGGACAAGACCATTGGTGAAAAGTAGCATAGTAAGAAGGATCTCATTGTACACTTAAGAATAAATTTCCACATTTCTCAGTGCTTGAGGCTCATATTGTTGCAGAATGTTTTTCCTTGAAGAATGTATTTGTCCTTTTTTAAAAAAATATATAATTTCTTATTCAATGCAGTCACATTAATACATTTTTAATTGTGGTTTAAGTGTCCAGATACTTTTTAGGGCAATTATATAATTTTCTAATTCAAATGGCATTCAGATTTTTGAAGAGATGATTGCGTGACATTTTTTAATTTCAATCTTGCACAGGGAGAGGGAAAGACTTCAGAAACAATGGGCCACTGAAAACTCTCTCATTCCAAAACATCACAATTCCACACAGAAGAAACAGAACAAAGATCTTCAACTTAAGCTGAAGAAGCTGGAAGCCAGAGTTCACCTTCTCGATTTGCAAGTTAGAAGACATTTATAGTTTTATTATATTGTATGCAATAAACTCTTACGATTTTTGACTGGTTGCATACATGTTTTAGTGCATGCACAGGCATTTTACGGCATGGTACTCGGTGATATTGGAAAGAAGGGTGCGCATGGGCAAGACAGCGGCACTGTGTGATTGGAGGAGGCAGCTGAGAGCGTGGCGGTCATGGCGGGCTCTGGTCTGGGCAAGAAGAGAGGAAAAAGAAGCTGAAAGGACTGAGGAGGAGCTGAGACAGGAGCACAGGCAGGAGAGCTCAATTTATAAAACTTGTCACTGTCAACATAGGGCTTAAACATCTTGATAAACATTTGAAAGAAAAGCAAAGCTCTCTAACTAAACGACTAGACTAAAAGAGCATGTTAATTGCTTAATTAAAGGTTAATTAAAGGCTTTAATTCATCTTGGCAGTCAGACTGGTTTTAAGCCATATCTGTCCCACAGGCGCTGTCAGCAGGCAGTGGAGAGTGACCGCAGGAGGCTTTTGAGGCGCTGCCTCAGTGATTGGCGTGTGTGGTGTCAAGTAGAACATCATCGCAAGGAGCTTCTCCAACAACAAGAAGAAACCCGACGTAAAATGGTTGTTTTGATCAATGCGGCAGCTTCTAGGAAACTAGGAGCAGAAAAATCTCCACCAGTTAGTAACCTATTTAAAACACTCAGTCCTAAAGAAAACATCAGCCATCAGGTAAGGACATATACTGTAATATTTTTTATTCTGATTAAACTATTCCACAAACTCTCTTCATCACACTACAGGATGTGGCAGCAGCTCCAGAAAGCAGTTCACTGACTGCACAAGCCTCAGAGACCCCGCCCACCCAGGCCTGGCAGGTGACGCGTCGCCATGCCGCTCTCTCATCTGCTGAGCTACAACAGCTCCGTCAGGGGCAACAGCAGCAGACCTCCCGAAGTGGAAGTGCAGAGCTTAGCGGTGGACAGTTCAAACACCGCCATGCGGCTCTGCAGCTAACCGTAGCCGAGCAGAAGCGTCTTCTGAAAGAGCAACAGGAACAGATTCGGCATCTGCAAGAAAGACAGAACATTCTGGAACAGAGGCATGAGGCAGAGAAAATTGCTCTGTTAGCAACAGGTCCTCCTGGAGCTACAAATACATGCTGTCTGCCTAAACCCAACACAGAGACAGCAAACCGAATTACAGAAAAACCCGCAAGGTACTATACAGGTTATCCTGTCAAGGTACCCCCATATGTGTGTGGCATATATCTGGGACATATTTCACCCCAAAATCAAAAGAATTATATTTTTATTTTGCTTATAGGAAATCAGACCCCCATACTCTAATTTGTATTAATGAAATGCAAAAAAATCTTTCTCTTTAGTGTAATACAGCAATGAAAATAATTCTGTCTAGACAACATGTTTTTAAATATTTTATATCATTAAATTAAATAATAAATTAAAATAAAAAATAATTTATTAAAATCAGCATAAATTAAATTCAGTAAAATAAATACTACGATGATATACACTTACAGTTATAATTTACAAATGTTACAATTTAAATATAAATGTATTTATATATACAGAGACAATATGTTAATATTACAGTAAGAAATTAACACTTATTCTGCAAGGATGCGTTAAATTGACCAGAAGTGACAGTAAAGACATTTAAAATGTTACAAAACATGTAATAAAAATCTGTTTAATAAATAGATTAATAAATGCTGTTCTTTTGAACTTTCTGTCCATCAAAGAATCCTGAAAAATGTATCACGTTTTCCATAAAAATACCAAGCACCACAACAGTTTTTAACATTGATAATAATAAGAAATGTTACCTTACCAAATCGGCATATTAGAATTGTTTCTGAAGGATCATGTGAAGTAGAAATAGAAAACAGTTATTTTCACTTGTAATAATATTTCACAATATTACTGTTTTCACTTTATTTTTGAACAAATAAATGCACTGGTGAACATTATAGACTTGAATAAATCTTACCAACCCCAGAATAGTAGTGTTATATGCAGAATTTAATATCATTATTTTTATTATATAGTGTCGTGTCATGTGTATTTTTATTTATTACTTTGATGAGAATTATATTTTTTGTGCATTACAGTAGGCTGCTATTTAAGTATTTAAACTTGCATAAGTGGCATTAAAATAATGCCACAATGCAAAAAATATGAATGGCTTTAAAATAGGTATATTTTCTTTATTTAAAATATAATATCTTTTTTACTTTCGAATATGGGGTGAAATATGACCCTGACGTTTCTTGACATTTTTTGTGAGACGAATCTTTACAGTTTCTTCAAATGAAGAAAACTGAATAAATACAAGAAATCTGACATCCACTATTTTTGATATTGTCATTCAATTTCTGAGGTGGACTGTCCTGGCCTTGGCAGTGACCAATCAGAACAAAGAGTGCCTCGGGGGAAAACACCAGCAGCCACACCAACCAAAAAGCATCTCTGCATTGTGCAGCTCTTCCCCAGCCTACAGTACAAGGTCAGTCATACACATACGCATTCGAGCAGTTGGGAAACTGTCACTACGGTTGTTCCAAGCATGGAAAATTAATTTCATGGCTATGCCCTAGTTTTAAATCCTCTCTGATACTGAATGCATTGATACAGATGCACACAATCTCTATACACTCATAATCCACTTGTGCAACTCTATGTAAAGTAAACCAAGAACAATACCAAAACCGCACAATGGCTCTTCCATGTGTTAAAACTTGAGCTTCATTGTTATTGATTACATAGTCATATTTTTTCAATTATCAGGGTTTTTTGAGTATCTGAGGGAGTTTGTGCACAAGGTTGCATCTGTCAGCGGGTGGTTGTTAACAGCCCCTATGAGTCAACATCCTGCTGAGTTAAAGGCCCTGCCGACTCATCAGTGACATCCACTATTTTTGATATTGTCATTCAATTTCTGAGGTGGACTGTCCTGGCCTTGGCAGTGACCAATGAGATTTTTCTCACAATGATAAACTGACAAGCTATTGTCCTGTTCAGATCTGATCAAAATGTTTTTACATTAAACGCAAGGTCATGTAACATAAACACAGCCCGTTGTAAATGGTGATTGTGTTTTTCCACCTCATTCATTTAAATTAGTGATAACAATGATTATTTTTTAATTAATAATAAGATAATTAATAAATTATTGCAAATTAATAAGAAAAGTCGATTTTTCTTGAATATATATATATATTTTTCTTTAATTTTGCTTTGCATTGGTGAGTTTGTATTTTCAAAACTATAATTATTTTCCCATAAAACACTGTATATGAGCTATATTTAAATTAACAATACGTTAATGCAATAATTAATACATTTTAAAAAGTAGTAAGAAAAGTATTTTTTTTATTATTTTGTAATTTTCTCATACTTGAACTTTACATTGGTGAGCTTTTCAGAACTTTTCATTTTTCTCCCACTAATACACTATATTAAATAAGTAATTATATATAAGTAAAGTTAGTTAACTATTCATAATAGAATGAAATATTATGTATTCAAAAAACAGGGGAATGTGCTAAATACAGGGGCAATTTTCCCCCATATTTTAAATATCTAGAACATTTTTGTCACTTTTGGTAGCATTTTGTCTCGAGCCATGGTGAATTCCTGATCCTGGTTGCAATACATGACTTAATCAGTGAAACACTACAAATGACAATGAGATTTTGAAAAAAATCACTCAGTTGGTGTGATACGAGACGCCGCCTTGAATACAAATGCAAGCAACACATCAAACTTGTACCAAAGAACCATAAGATCAGAAGAAAATGCTGCAGAACTTCACAGTGACCCTTTAATCTGGCCCTTTACTGATGTCTCGGTCACCCACGAACTCTGTCTCTCACTTTCCTTTTTTATGTTTCTTTCAGCCATGAAGGAACGAGCACAGCAGCGTGCCGAACGCCGGAGAGAGATAGAGGAGCGGAGGAGACAGAAACAGGAGGAGAAACTGGTAAGACTTGCCTCTCTTCAAGTATAGAAATGTGAATATGATGAAACTGTCAGGGATTCATCACAGTCACTTCAGTCACCATCCAGGATAATTACCCGATCACAGTCACCTGAGTTCTGATCACCCGCACCTGCTGTCACCAATCAAGCCACACAAGCCTCTCCTTTTTTTGTTCTGTAGGCTCAAATGAAGGCAGCTGAGGAGGAAAGACTCAGAGCTGAGGAAGAGGAGAAACAAAAGGAGGTAGAGAGGAAGAAGGAAGAGAAGAGGCAGCAGAGAAAGGTGTGTGGTCAAACACATTATCATGGGTTTTACATCATTGGATTATGTTACTTTTAATGTTTTATTCATTGTTTATGCTACAGACATGAGTGATGCCTCAAATCATGCGGCTTATTGAGGAGAGGGGTCTGTTTACTTTTGAAGTAATTGTAATTATGATTTTTAGCCCGTTTGAATGATTTTCAGCTTTTTCGGATGATGAAATGGGTGAAAATAATCCCAAGCCTATCTAGGGAAAAAATGGTAATTGAACCTGAAAATGGTAAATTAAGTGGTTTTATTCAATTTTAAAATATTATTTAACATCACTGAATCAATCTAAATACATTAATTTATACTAACAAGACACATTTTTAATGAGTTAAATCAGGCAGAAATTATGGAAACCATTTTCACCACAGAATAGAAAAATAAAAAAGGTAATTGCGACTTTACCTAAAAATTCTGACCTTATTCTTGCAATTCTGAGTTCATATCTCACAATTTTGTGGGATATGAATTTGTAATTCTGAGAAGAAAAGTCTGAAATGTGAGAGATAAACTTGCGGGGGAAAAAAGTCAGAATTGTGAGACAAAAAGTCACAATTACCTTTTTTAATACATGGCAGAAACACAAAATAGAGTTGTGAGATATGAACTTTAATAAAATATAAACGAGTTGTATGTAGATTGTAGGTTACCACTTTTTACTGTGTAGAATGCCAGTATGAAACCACCCAGAATGCTCTAGGAACTGATTAGCAGTATGCTAAAAACCATTCAGAATAACTTGGCAACAATGTAGCACTGTGCAAATGAGTTTTGCACAGTGCAAATCTAGAAAATACAAAAAAAAAATGTTTATAATACATTAAATTAATGTATTCATCATGTTTATGCACACAGCCAACTTGCACACAAGTTTTAAGTAACTGTGTGTGTGTGTGTGTGTGTGTGTTTGTGGGTTAATGTGAACTTAGAGGGAACTTGAGAAGCAGAAGAGAGCAGAACGGGAACAGGAACTGTCAAAGCGGGTGGCCCAGCACTACCTCAGAACCCTGTTACTGCACCGAGGCCTGGCACCATGGAAACACCTACTGGAGCAAAGCCATGTCAACACACAGGTCAGCACTACTGCAAACACACACACACACACACACACACACACACACACACACACGCACACACACACACACACACACACA